CCCTCTTGCACTGTTGGTGGGAATGCAAACTGGTGCAGCTGCTCTGGAAAACAGTGTGAAGGTTCCTCAAAAAATTAAAAATAGATCTACCCTATGACCCAGCAATAGCACTGCTAGGAATTTACCCAAGTGATAGAGGAGTGCTGAGGCATAGGGGCACTTGTACCCCAATGTTTATAGCAGCACTTTCAACAATAGCCAAATTATGGAAAGAGCCTAAATGTCCATCAACTGACGAATGGATAAAGAAATTGTAGTTTATATACACAATGGAATACTACGTGGCAATGAGAAAGAATGAAATATGGCCTTTTGTAGCAACGTGGATGGAACTGGAGAGTGTGATGCTAAGTGAAATAAGCCATACAGAGAAAGACAGATACCCTATGTTTTCACTCTTATGTTGATCTTGAGAAACTTAACACAAGACCATGGGGGGAGGGGAAGGGGAAATAAAAAAGGTTAGAGAGGGAGGGAGCCAAACCATAAGAGACTCTTAAAAACTGAGAACAAACTGAGGGTTGATGGGGGTGGGAGGGAGAGGGTGGGTGATGGCTATTGAGGAGGGCACCTTTTGGGATGAGCACTGGGTGTTGTATGGAAACCAATGTGACAATAAACTTCATATTAAAAAAAAAAGGGTGTTTATGTGGTACATACTATACAATGAAACATACTAGGAAAAGGAGTCAAACAGCAACGGAACAAGTTTGTCAAATTTAACAATCAGAGCAGGAGGCACGGCCAAATATGTAGGGTTTTATACATGGTTAAGTTTTCTGGAATGTATTCTAGAAGCTGTCAGAAGGTCCAAATTAGGACAGGATCTGATTTAGGTTTAAACATCTGCAGATAATGTTTAAACGTGTAGAGAAAGGGAGGGTGGAGACTAATCCAGAGGCCAGTACCACAGTCCACATGAGAGAGGATCACAGTCTAGACTGGAAAACATAGACAAAACATGCTGAAGTAGACATCTATCAAGTATATCTGGGGAGTTAAACTGAAAGGATTTATTGAGGAAGAGGTCAAGGAAAGGGAGGAATCAAAGACATCTTCCTAATTTGGGCTTTAGTAACTTGGTGATGGGTGAGGTAATTAATAGAGATGGGCAAGATGGGAGGAACAGATTTGGAAGCATAAAAACATCAAGAGTTCTGGTTGAGATGCCTGTGAAAGTTCTAAGTGGGTAAGTCAAGAGGTTGTTGGATATACACAAATATGAGGCATGGAGATGTCTAAACCAAAGGTATAAACATTGGACTCAAAAGTGTAAGAATGGCATTTAATTCTACAAAAATGGGTGAGCTCTAAATAACAATGTAAAGCTACTTTTGAACAAAATCAATAGTTGACTTCGTTCAATCCTTATTTATGATACAATCCAACAACACATCTTATAAAATTTACGTGTGATCAAGGTCCCTAAGAAATCCTCTGGTCACCTTCTAGATAGATCATAACCCTATCTGCTACCAACATACCTTCCTTTCAAATAAGGGCTCCCAGGAACTTTCAGGTAAGAAGTTTCAGCATTTTATGTTATTCTTAAGAAGAATGAATAGCTTGTTTAGTCCCTGCCCCATGTTGAAGGTGAGGTGACCTAATGGGCAGCATATGGTTTCCGAAAGCAGCCAAGCAAACATGCCAAGCTGGAGATAACTTTGCTCTAATTGCATATACTGCATCAATTCTCTCCCATCACTACACAAATACCAAATGGTGTCACAGGGACCATTCTACAACTTAGGCAGAAAAGAGATTTTACTCCATTGTTAGGTTAGTTTCAAAAAAGAAATCAGTGAAGAAACAGTGAATGTTTGGAGAGATTTTAGTCATAGTAATTAAAAAAAAAAAAACAACCCAACAATTCTTTTCAACATTCCTTTGGTGGTAGGTATAACCTTATCTCCACACACGAGACATCTTTTTTTT